CACCCTACTCACTACCAACCAAGTGAGATGATTTGCACAATCCTAGGAGGACTCTGTTAAGGGAAACAGAGTCTTCCTAGGAGTCTCATCATTGCAAGCCAAGTGAAATGGCTATCATGGTTAAACAACAGTATGGCCGAGCTAACACTAGCCCTTTGACATACTTAATCCGGTGTTTTCAAATGCAACGCCTAGCTTGGTCTTTGTATCTTGGTTTTGGCTGTCTAAACTGAGCTAACTGCAGCAGTCTCTGACCGAGCTAACAAGGGTAAGATCCAACATTGCGGAGCTCAAACACCTCGGCCCATAGTTCGGCCCGATCTTCACCTGGTCCTAGCTCGTTTAGCTTTACTACCAAGCTACACCAGCCCTTACCTCGACCCAACGTGAACCCATCTTCTAAAGAAGGCCTTTCCTTAGCTCGGCTCAATTTATTTATAAATTACCCTCTCATTACCCGTTTGTATAATTTTCATTTTAATGGGTCCTCTAAGTTCACAAGAAAAAATAGAGAATTAAACAGTTCATAAAATCACATTTTATGATTTATTAATACTTCACCCAAAATATTAGTGGAGATGCTCTAAGATAAAAGAAAAGAAATGTTTCCATGTTATATTATCAAAATATAATTTTTATATTTGTTGACCATACAAGTGTATAGGGGTGAGCATGGTCCAGATTGGAAAAAAACTAGTACCAATTCGTTGTTTATGGTTTTTGAAAAATTGGAACCAATCTAATTCGTTTAAATCATGAAACCAATCCGTTTAAACACGGATTGGATTGGTTTAGGATCACAGATTCACATAATTAAATAACAAAAAAAATATAGAACATTTTAATTTCATAAAAACTTAAACATAGCATCAAACAAAAGCAATAAACAAAAGCGACAAACAAAAGCAATAAAACTGGATATACATTACACAAACTAAAATTCTCCTCTGTATTAAAACTAAACATAGCATCAAACAAAAGCAATAAGAAAACTGGCTTTAGATAAACAAAAGTAACAAAACTATATGAACAAAGGTAGTAAACAAACAAAAGCATACCAGCAACATCATGGAATAAGGGTTTAGCTTTTATATGGAATAAGAAATGATATTATGTGGGAGAGTCTATAGTATAAATATAGACTATTTGTATAGGTTCGGATCTGTTTTAATCCGGAACCGTGGGGTTCAATCCGGAACCGGTTCGTGGCCTACGGATTTTTAAATTTTCAATCTAGAACCGAACCACGGATTCAAAAAATCAATGCAAACCTATCGGATTGGACTGGATCGGATCGAATTACAGATTATACGTATTTCTTGCTTAGCCCTACAAGTGTATGACATGAGTTCTTTTATATGTACAATGGCAATATTGGAATTATAAAAATATAACAGTTTGTTATTTTTTTCCCCTTTCAAATCACTTCCCAATGTTTGTTTGCCTCTATCACTAGGAGTATTGGGTTATGAGTGAGATAGATCCCACTCATAGTATGTTTAGGCCTCTTTTGAAAAGGAAAAGTTATTGGTTAGTTTTGGGTACCGCCACATAGTGCTTTAATGGTGTTGTGATTGGTAGAGGGGATGAGATCCATAAATTTATGTTGAATAATTAGAAAATATGAGAGAGTATGGTGAATTGTAATTAGTGAGCAGCATGACCGCACGGCGCCCCTGAATCAACTAATAATTTTTCTTTGAAAAGTATAAAAAAAAGTTAACTTATTGGCTTATTGATTTATTTAAATCATATCGCATCTCTACTTTTTGCATATTTTTTTCATAATAAAAAAAAAAGCTAATTTTTTTGGCACTTCCCAAAACAACTCTTAGTTAGAAAAGTTGTAAGGGGATTAGCACTCCAATTAGAGTAGTAGTTTACCACTATGGGTGGATTAGCAAAGATGGGTGAGAGGTAGGATTAATGGTAAAACATCATTTTGTCTTCTAGTTTTAATGATTTTACAATGAAAGAAGGGTAATTATGTAATTTCATAAGTTTACTCCCAATCAATTAATATCACCACTCTACTACATAAACAAACACACTTTATTTTATATTTTCAATTTAATACCACTACGTTACTAATCGTCTCACTCAATCTTACTACACTCATAATCCTATTCAACATAATATGCCAAACAAATGTGGCCAAAGATATTCAAAATAAGATTTTGTGGAGAAATGATTTCTCTCAATTTCCCTTACATTTAGACCCTGTTTGTTTTCAAAAGTAGGCCTTGGGACTAGGTTTGCTAGTGTGTTGGGTTTTTTAATAGGATAATTTACAAATACACCCCTGAGGTTTGTTTAAAATACATATTGCCCCATGTGATTTGAAAAATTATAAATACCCCCTTATTAGGATTTTTTATTTAACAGAATTAACTAAAAAAATGAAATTCATAATTGCTCTTCTATGCAATAATAAAATTACTTAAATTATTAATTGAAATATATTTTTAATATCATTAAAAACTGTTAATTGACTTAATGATTTATTAATAAAAATGACGATTTGTTATGACATTAGAAACTTCAGGGGGGTGAAATGTAATTTTTAAAACCACGAGAGATAATTCGTATTTTAATCAAATCTCAGGGAGTGTATTTTTAATTTACCCTTTTTAATATCATGTTTGTTTTCAAACTATAGCAATGGACTCATAGTCTCAACACCGACCTCTCACCATGGGATTAGTAATGAGATAGGGGAGATGGTATTAGAAAATGAAACTCTTGGGATTAGCTTGGAAAAGATTATTTTGCCCTCTTAGTGTATAATAGTATAATAATAAAATTATATCAAAAAAATTATATATTAAATATATCAAAAACACAAAGGGTATTTATGAAATTTCATATAGTTAATCCTATTATTGGATGGCAAAACAAATATGAAATTTTACTAGTCTGGTGGTCATCAAACAAACATAATTACTCTTAGTTCTTTTACTAACAATTCCCATAGATCTTCTCAGTAACAATCTCACCCAATCTAACTTTAAGACCCCATTTGTTTCTAGAGTTGGAGGATGGGATTGGGACTAGTAATGAGGTGAGATTCAAAAAATTGTGTTTGTTTTGGAAGTAGCCATGGGATTAAGAGTCTCATGGGACTATGAAAGGCCTTGGATGAGGGGCCTAGTAGTGGCCTAGGGGAGGTAGTATTCAAAAATGAATCCCTTGGGACTATGGGTTAATTGACTATTTTACCTTTGTGTTTATTGCTAAATTTGTTATAATACTTGGAATGAAACTCATAATATGGCTCATGTAATATTAAACACAAATAATTGAGTAAAATTTTATTGATAGTTGGATTCTTTAACATTTGCAAAAGAAGAAGAAGAAGAAGAAGAGAGAATAACATTGAGAAAAAATTTATTGATACTTGGATTCATTAATATTAAAAAAAAAAGAATAAAATTGAGTAAAAAAATTTTGATATTTTAGTTGGATTCTTTAATATTTGAAAAATATAAAAAAAGAAAAAGAAAAAGAATAACATTGAGTAAAAATTTATTTATTCTTTAGTTGGTATAAGCCTAAATGATAATAATGCAAAAGGTATTTATGAAATTTTACATGGTTAATCACACTCCTATCCCTCAAAGCAAATATAAACTATTATTAGTCCACTGGTTATCAAACAATCACAATTTTTTTTAATCCCCTCGCTAACAATCATCTTTATTCTATCTTTGAAAACAAACAAGCCCTAGAAACAAACGGGCCCTTAGGTCTTATTTGTCAATAGGCTAAAATAACCAAAAAAACTAAAAAGTCACTACAAATCATCACATAACTTTCTTTATTTTTATTTTTATTTTTTGACATTTTGTCGTAAAAAACCAATTAAAATAGTCGATTGCCAAATGAGCCCTTAGTAATCCAAACAAGTGATTTAGGCCTCGTTTGGAAAGCTTGAATTTTTAGTTTAAAAGTTTTAAAAAAAAAAAATCATTAAAAAAGTCAAAAACTGTACAAATTATTAAAAAAGTCAAAGATTCTTTGGGAAGAACTTTTTTAGTCTGACTTTTTAGTTTTTTGGCTAATTTAGCCTAACTAAATTAGCTCCGTTTGAAAAAAACTTTTTAGCTTTTTTTGAATGAAAAAGTAAAATAATTATAATTTAGATATGTCATTTTATTTTATTGACTTATTTTGCTTGTTTTGTCTTTTTTTGTACTTTTTTAATCCCAATCTAAACTCAATTCGCTTGCCAAACGAGGATTTTTTCTTTCTATTTTTTTCATAAAAAAATTAAAAAATTATACCAAACATATTAATTTTTATAAATTTATATTTTAATTTAAAAAAATATACTAAAATAAACCATTTCAAACGAAACTTTAAGGTCATGTTTGTTTCGTTGTTTGAGGAGGGAGACTGGATTGCGTGTGTGGTGGAATCCACATAAAACTTGTTTGGTTGGCTTGTGAACTCCCAGATTGTCATGCCAAGTCGACTATTAATACTATACCATACTAGGATTACATTTCGGTGATTGGAGAAGGGATTGAAAAATCAATCCAACAGCTTAATGTTGGAATTACAATTTTGGGCTTGAACAGCTTACGGAGGCAAGCGATCTTTTTTAATTTATTTGTGTTATATTTTATAATATAATAATATATTTTTAAAAAATATTAATTTTATATATTAATACTGTCTATAGTATTACTAATCTGGTGGTATATAAACAAATACTCTTTATCCTATATCTCTAACCTGATACAACTACACTAATAATCCTCTCACTTAATTTTACTGCACTCTTAATTCCCTCAATCCTATATAGTCAAACAAACGTGGCCCAAACTCATTTCTCCCATTTGATTTACTCTCTCCGTTCTAAAATATTAGTCCCTTATTTCATTTTTCATTATCCTAAAATAGTAGTCCATTTTCAAAAATTAAGGACTAAAATAACAAGAATTTCCTATTTTACCATTTTTTTAAATTCATTAATTGATGTCCACCGAACCCACCCTCACCGGAGATCCACTCCCGACGACGGCGACCCACTCCTAAAACCCAACCGATTGAGGTGGATTGATTCTGTCTGCCTTACAAACTAGAGCCCTTATACTATTTTCCTCCACCTCACAAAACTCGTCTCACCGGCGACCCTCTTTACGATGACCCACTCCTCCAACTGAACCCATTGCTTTGCCCTCATTCTCTTTGCCCTCACTTCGCAAACCAGAGTTCCGTTGTGAGCAAACTAGTCCGACGTCAATCATCCATAGGTTAGTCTTCATTGTCTCTATAATTGATTATTTCAACTTCATGTTTAAGGATGGAATTGTTTTGCTTTGTTTTTTTTGTTTTGATTTTCAGTAGCAGATTTGGTGAAGGATGGATTATTTATGTTTTTGATTTGAGATTAAAAATTTGGTACTATGAAGAACTTCTTTTTTGTCATTGGAATTTTTTGAAACTGAAATTTGTTTTTAAGTTTTTGTTTCTGGATTTTTTATTTTATTTTATTTTATTTGTCTTTAAGCTTTGTAAAGACATTCTTTTTTTTATTTATCCATGGAAAGACATTCTTTTCTTTATGCTTTGGAAATTTGCTACTCTGTGTGTGTTTAAGCTTCAATTCATTGAGGCCTATATGGATTTTCTCGGTTGAAAAAAGAAAGAAAAAAAATAAAAAATTTACATACATTCGGATCCATTGCGTTGCCCCCATTAAAGAAAAGAATGTCTTTACATGGATAAATAAAAATTAATGTCTTTACAAAGATTATTTAAGTTTTTGATTTGAGCTTAAAAATTTGGTACTGTCAAGACTTTTGTGTTTCAAATTTTTTGTCTTTGGAATTGTTGTCTTTAAGTTTTTGCCTCTAGAATTTTTTTTTGTCTCTGGAGCAGATATAAGCTTTTATCTCTGGATTTTGATTTGAATTTTTTTTTTGTGTCTCGGGGCAGATATAAAGATTTTTTGTCTCTGAAATAAAGATTTTATTTCTGTAGCAGATATAACTTATATGACATATTTTGTAACTGATAGGGTAATTTACGTGTAAATTGGGCCGAGCTAAGTCCGTCTGTTGAAATTAGACCGAGTTAGATAGAGTCTCCTCTGGTCGCTAGGTCGCGTTGTGGGCTGAGATAAGAACTTGAGTTTCGTCTTAAGCCGAGCAGAAATTGGGCCAAAGCTTGGACTGAGTTAACTGGATGTGGTCCGGGAGCAGGCCAGGGTATCACTAATACAGTGGGCCAACTGAATTCAGCTCGGTAGAGCGTCATCTTGGTTTTGTCTAGCTCAAGACAAGGCCATGTTAGCTCGGTTGACCGTACTATTAGCCGAGGTAAGGGATTTGAGCCATCTCACTTGGCTTGCAATGATAAGGGTGTTCTAAGGATAAGCCTTATCCTTGGGAGTGTGATTCCTAGAAGAACTCTTATAAGGAGAGGTGGAGTCCTACTAGGATTGTACCAGTTGGAATCTATAAAAACTCATGACAGGACCTATGTACAGGCATCATAATTCTTACTCTCAAATACACAACTTTTATGTCTATTGTCTATTTTGCTGACTTAGGCATCGGAGAAGTTTTTGACACACCCCCGCTGGCTAACTCACGATTGTGTTTTCAGGTAGTAAAGCGACGACGTTTAGAGGAATACAAACTTGATCAACAAGATTATACGAGAAGACTATTTCGTGCTCGTACAATAGCTAAGATTTGATTTATATGGGTTTTCAATTGCATTTTGATGGATATGGAACCTGAGAATGATTGTGCTTGGAAGCCAAAATAGGGAATGACATTTGATTCAGAACAAGGTGCGTATGATTTTTATAATGCATATAGAGGAAGAATGGGGTTTAGCATAAGAAAGGATTATTCTAAGAAGAACAAGTTCACTAACCAACTTATTTGTAAACTTTTGGTTTGCAACAAGGAGAGATTTTAGAAGGTTGACAAGCGAGACCCATTTTCAAAAAACCCTAGAGCTGAAACTAGGACTGGTTGTGAGGCTCAACTTTATGTTAAATTAGATGACGGTACTGGGAAATTTGTTGTGACTAATTTCAAAGAAAAATACAACCATGATCTTGTATCACCCGAGTGTGCCCATATGTTGCCGTCACAAAGAAAGATATCGGCTACCCAAGCAATTGAGTTAGATTTTGCAACACAATCTGGTCTTCGTTCAGGCCAGTCTTTTGAACTTATAGGAAGGGAAACTGGTGAGAGGCAATGTCTTGGGTTTACGAAATTAGATTAAAAAAACTATTTGAGAACCAAAAGACAACAAAGTTTAGCATATCAGGAAGTAGGTAATGTGTTGCAATATTTTAAAGAAAAATCTTTGCAGAATCCTTCTTTTTTTTATGCTTTCCAGTTAGATAATGAGGAGCAAATAACGAATATGTTTTGGGCCGATGCACAAATGATCATGGATTATGCCCAATTTGGTGATGTTGTCACATTCGATACGACTTACAAGTTAAACAAAGAACATAGACCCTTTGCATCTTTTGTGGAATTCAACCATCATAGAGAAATAGTTATATTTGGTACAGTCTTGTTGTATGATGAGACCGCTGAGTCGTTTGTATAGTTGTTTCAAACTTTTCTAGAGGCTATGTTAAGAAAGGCATCAAAAACTTTGTTCACCGATCAAGATGCTGCAGTGGCTAAAGCCATACCCATTGTTATGCTTGACACAAGTCACCGATTGTGTACTTGGCATTTGATGCAAAACGCATTAAAACATGTTAATTGTCTGTTCCAAGATAAAGGGTAAAGGCTATACTCAATAAATTCCTGTTTGACACTGAAGATGAAAATCAATTGAAGTTAGAGTGGGTTGAAATGCTTGACAAATATGACACGCATGATAACCATTGGTTGAAATTGACTTTTGCAGTGAAAGAAAATGAGGCTGGCCATATGTTAGATCAACATGGGCTGCGAGAATGAGTACCACACAACTTAGTGAATCTTTTAATGTTTTTTTGAAGGATTACATTCATTTTGATTTTAATTTAAATAAATTCTTCATGCATTTCGAAATGGTGCTTTGTGAGAAGCGATACAAGAAGTTAGAAGTAGGATATGCTTTGTGCCACCAAAGGTGAGAGCGACAATAAGAATATTAATTCAAATAGGTAATGTGTACACAAAAAAGATTTTTGAGGAATTTCAAAATGAGTACTTTTGATCCATTGAATCGGACATAGAAGCAATTGAATATGGCGAGGCTTGTACCATTTACACAGTTGTTGATGTTGGTAGGAAACATGCAAGGAAAGTGAAGATTTAGAGGGATGACTCTTTGGGTTGTAATTGTACAAAGTTTGAAAGGGAAGGAATTTTGTGTTCTCACTCTTTGAAGGTTATTAGAGACATGTTGAAGATGAAAGATATTCCTTCTCAATACATTGTAAAGAGGTGGACCAAACAAGCAAGAGCAGAATCTGTGAAGAACACTAAGAGGAATGACATTTAAGTTGATGTCAAATTCAACAAGCCTTGCGGTATAAGACATTAATGACCGCATTTAGAGCAATAGCATGTGGAGCTGTTAAAACTGAAGAAACCTATGATTTTGCAATTGCACAAGTCGCTACATTAGGTGCAAGTATTGAATGCAAGTTAAGTGCTCATTTTGCTGTTGAAAATGAAGTACGCAATGAAGATGAAACCCAAAGCTTTGAAGTGGATTGTGGAGATGACAATCATGTTGTGTAACCAAAAGGCTTAAAGAAAAAGGTGGCAACTAGTAAGGGTAAAAATAGAGTAAAAGGTGGATTCGAAGCAGCGTTGGTAGTGAACATGAAAAAAAAAATCCTGTGCTAACAGCTTGACTTCTTCATAATCTATTGCAAGTCCAACAATTAGACTTTCTCCATTATCTGTTGGAGGAGATGTCTATTGTCACGCCCCAAAATTTAGACAATTAAATATTAAATTAGGACTAAACCCCAATTAATATTCCATCATCCAAATCCTAGGGGTGAAACAAAAAAAAAACTAAAACGCCAACCCAAACCATCCACCATAAATTCATAACTAACAAATACCTCAACATTAAGGTAGCAACAACCAGTCAAAACAACTTAAATAAAGTACGGTTACAAACCATGCCAAATTATTCTAATACTAAAGTCATAAAAAAATAATAATAATAATAATAATAATAATAATAATAATAATAAATACATAAACTACTAACAAGCCTAAGCTCAAAAAAAAAAACAAAAAGAAATCCAAGAGATATGCCCAAAAACTTTAGTTACTTCTCGTCACCACCGTAGCCTCAACTAATCCTGCAAAGGAAGCTCAGCTGCGCTCAACAGAACGCACCCGAGTTGCCACGAGACAAAACGGGTCAGTATACAGGTATATTGGTATGAGTACAAGATTCAACACTCACGTGTCCACCAGACACAAACAAAAATTCGTTAAATTCTTATTACAGGACAAGACAAGTAGTTCCAACCGCACCGAGACGAATGGGTAGTTTCTCCAGACACGGTGGCATTTAGTTTCTTGTCCGTACACAACGAAATATAAATTTATTATAAAATAAACAAAATAGAAATAGAAATATGGTGGGTCAGCCCTGCATAAAAAGTTAGTAAGACCCACCATCCTGCAAAACAAATAAAGTTAGTATAATTTAATCATAAGTAACTTGTTGAAATAAATATAAAATTACACCGTTTCATACTTAAATAATTCGAATTGATCAAAACTCAAAGAACTAAAGTTGTACAAAATCAAATTTCCTAAAAGACAACGTGAACGAATTTAACAGAAACTGAACAGGTTAAGAGAAAAGCTTGATCTAAAAATCTAGACGGAATTCAATCGAAAAATATGAAGCTGAAAACAAACAAAAACTGCCATAAGATGATTTTTTCCGAAAAAGTTCAAAACATGAAAAGTGTGCAGAATAATGTTTTACTTCAGTTTACGCGAAACAAATAAAAATGAGCTCGTTTCATGGGTTAAAACAGCCTCTAAAATTTGCCTTGCTAAAATGAATCAAACCGACAATAATCAAGATCATCCGA